TAGCAAATACCTCAACGTTCTCTCGCCGTATACGTTGTTTGCTCTCGATGTACAGAGCCCAACTTGCGTTACCGCTCGAGTCTGTACGTCATGCTCCACTCGTTTTTTTACGTCGTCTCGAAAAAAGTGCTCGACTAGAAGACATTTATTTACTTTTTCTGTTATGGGCAGTATTTTGCAGTGTTTGAAAAATTCCTCTTTCTTCATTTTTTTATGAGTTGAGCACATTTCTCGAGACAACGTGTTTAAAAAAAATATATATATATATATATATATAAATATATATATATATATATATATATATATATTTTAGTTCCTCATTATAAGCGTAAACAAAATGTAAACAATCATCACACTTGAAGCCAATATGAGCCCTTTAGTTTTTACCAATCATAAATTGTATTTTAACATTCTCGGTTACGATAATGTCCAATAACATAAGTGTCATTTAGATTTTGTTTGTTTTGTTGCCAAGTTTGTTTTTGTTAGTGTTTTTTTAAACCATTAAAGTCAGTTGTTACCCAGCTTCACATAAAGTGTTTTATTTGAACATCTCCATACAAAAAACCGCCACCGAACTTAACTCGTGACATAATCTTTTTATATGCAACTGTATATATATTCTTATAATGTTAGACCTACATATTAGTCTCTTTCTGACGAATTGTGTTTACGCTCTGTTGAAAAAAAAATAGTATTGCTATAGACATGAGTTTTTATGAATAAGATAGTGACGTATAGTTTACACACATATTTCAGTTGCGTTTCTCATACGAATGATACAATCATATTTTAAATGAATTGTTTAAGTTTGAATTTTCGTGGAATTGGGTGCCGTCCGGAAATATTTCAAATGTCTCAGATCTTTATTTTAAAATTTCAATTGTTTTCGTTTTCAAAGAACAGACTCAAATTCTTTACTGAATTTTGTTTTTTTAATTTGTTCTAAAAATATTGGTTTACGATATTTTGTTTAGGCATACGTTTATCATAGAAAATTATGTCATCAGTACGCAATACCTGCGTGTGAGTGCAGAGAGCATTAAATTACTTTTCCGCTTTAAAAAACAATAAAGAAAATGTTCGAATTTATGTTTAGATAAGGATCAATGACCTCTTTATGAACGCCATAGACAGTACGTCCGGATTTTATTTTGTGTCCACGCTAGTTTCCGGAACACATGTTCCTATCTGTTAATGTGTCAATGAATGGGAAAGCGGAAACTGTTTTTTATATGAAATACTAGACAATTGTAGTCGCTCCACAGACTAACATATAATACTAATATTAAAGAGTAAGGATTTGATTGCATTGAATAGGCTCCAAAACTACATGATTGATTTGAAAAATTATTTCACCCTACGTTATCCCTTATTAACATAGGCTATAGAATATTTTCAAAAAAGTTAAGGTATAGTGTAACCCAAGGTGTGAAATGACCAATCTAATCAATGAATTTCTAAATCATGTACGCTGCCGAAAGTGACCAGAAGCTGCCAAAGTGATGTAGGTACTACAGTTATATCATATGTAATCAAAATAAAAATTGCATATAAAAGCTTTATGCTATAGAACATCGTTCTACGATCGGATTAATGCGGATGGAAACGTATAGCACAGCTAGTATAATATAAAAATATAATATACAAGTATAGACCACAGGTAAATAGTGTCTACCCCTAATAGAGACTGTAAGTACGTAGTGTTATTAGATTCTACGTATTTCTGATGAAGAATGTCTCATTCAAGAGACCAAACCAATACAGTTCTGAAATTTTGTAGTTGTAGTTGAATCCTATGAATAGCATTGAAATAAAGTATTAACAAGAAAGTGTTTTTAGACTTGCATCATAATTGTTTGTATGAAATTTTGTAGCTCTCCATTGGACTCACACAATTATGTTTTATTGATTTACCTTTAAGCAAGTAGGTGACCAAAGAAGCGATGTTCTTCCCATACAGTAAGGGTAAGATTCAGGGTGATGTTCAGATGCGAGACTTTGTAAACTATGACTTCCATGTGTCACATTTTGACGTATTTACGGGACTTAAGCGGGCCATAGACGAACCGCTCGAGCAGTTCCTGAGCAAACCGCATGTTGCAGTCGGTCTTGACTGCAACATGCGATCCGTCTATGGCCCGCTTTAGTGGTAAATCTACTTTCTGAATGTTATACCCAAAATAGAAACTTAGTACAAAGTATGACTTCCTATGTCAAAATCCAATAAATTTTTGACGAGCGCTGAGACTCTTTTCTGAATTATCCCCAGCAGTGGCGTAACTATACCATCTGGGGCCCATGGCAAATCTTTTTTCGTGGCAATTCTTTTGATAGGGACCTATCCGTAAAAATCGTTACGTTGTACTCAGTTTAATTTTAATAAACTTCGAGATTTCTAGCGTACTCAACTACACGATGTATATGTCCCACTAATGGCCATAGGCCTCCTCTCTTAGACGAGAGGGAATGGTCTGTAGTCCTAGCGTGACGTGACCGTCTGCCAATGTGTATTGGAGACTTCACATTCATCCATAGAACATTATACTTCTTGGGTCGGGGGCCCCTGGTATTTTGCCAGCCCTGCCACCCTATTGTTACGTCACTGATCCCCAGAGTCGAGACTTAGTACAACTCCCGTACAATTAAAGTCAACTCTGAGTTTTCCTACGTGTTTATCATGAACAGCCGATTCATAAACACAATGCTAAAACTATCTTAATAATTCATTACGTTAGTGTTGTGGATAGTTATCTTGTTCGTTGCGCTGTTGCATAAAGGCGAGAAACATGATGTAATGGTAAAATTAGCAGCATAAGAACTATTTGGTTGCATGTATTATGCACTCGTAACATGCCCATACATTATAAGATCGTTTCTACGTTATATTAAAGTAGGTAACATTTAAATTTAAGGTATAGTAATATAGTAATAACGATATTAAATCAAGATCCGATGACAATATCATGTGTACTTATTATTTTTATAAAAGCTTTATTAATAATTGTTCTTTTGTATCAGTATTAGTAGTGTTAAAATAAGTTTTACGAATTAAGGTTAGTTAAGTTAGTGTTCTAGTATTTGTATGGCCCAGTTTAGGGTATCCTCTCTGTCATATTTTTACATTTCTCTTTGTCTGGAGCAACTTTCATCCAGTTTTTCCCCACTAGTTCTATTAGGTTATCTGTCCCTCTTTTCTTTAAATAAATAAATAAAAATTTATTTGCAAAGAAAGTACATTTAGATCGATTCATTATAAAAATCAGCACAATCACCCATATAAAAATAGGCATGAAAATTACATGCTTTTGTCGTCCTGTACATCGCTTTCTAACAAAATGTACTGGATAATAAGCCCAGTACATTTTGTTCCTCCAGTGTCCATGTTTTGTATTTTATGTGTTCTTATATCAGTAACTAATTCGTCGTATTATCTATAAAGTCTCTTGTTGACCACGATAGCGGAGAAGTTCTCGAAACGTCTAGTTGTGTACATAAAGAATTTAATAGATTTGTGATAAACTATGTACAATTTTATCTAGAGTTTTTTTTTGTTTAATCACTGTTGTCCACCATGTTTACTAGCCATCTGGTTGTGGACTTGATGCTCCCGCTGAACATAGGGGCATTTCACGTGAAGTGGAGAAATTGTTTGTATTCGGGTTAATCATACCTCTAGTCAGTATGAACGGAAATACGTAACATTTTTTTATGATGTTTATTTCTCAAGTTATAAAAATAATGCTAATTGAAATTTCGATTTTTTGGAATAGATTTTCTCATAGGAAAACAATATATCACGCTTTGCAATGCGTATAGGTCTTTATTTTCCCTTTTTGATGAGAAAAAAAATGTATTCCAAAGTAAAAATTTCAAAAGTTTTTCAAAAAACTTCGACCAATTTTTTTTATTCCAAAAAAATTGCTCTAAGTATATTTTATGGATACTAGAAGTTTCATAGTGGTATGTTTACTAGTTAGGAAGATAGGTAAATAACAAAAAAGTTTAGCTAATTGAGCTTCAATCGACAAAACTTTTTGGTCGTTTATTTGCAAAGTGACATAGACAAGAATTAATATAAGTTCCTGATGATATATATAACCTTTATAAAATACAATTAAGATTTTATAGAACAAGTTCTCGTAATGGATGTAAAGTGTGTCAGTATGTAAACAAAGAATTTTCGCACTTGCGATAGTACAAATATAACGTTATCTTTGTAGGTGTAACCGTTCTTATGATATCAATACTCATGTTTGTTTTTGTTTAACTAGTAAACACACTACATATTCAATGTATATTGCAAACAATAAAACATACGCGTGAATTGTATGACAGCCCGTTCCCACTAGTCGTAAGTCGCATAAGACTAAAAGTCGAATGCTCTGGTCACCATACACTTTATATGGAGCTGTTCACATTATATGAGACGCGACTTTTAGTCTAATACGACTCAAAAAACCATCCGACGGGCCAGCGCCCGTTTTAAGACTATAAGTCGCGTCGAATCGTGCTCGCATAGGTGCCTGCTTGTTGCTGTTCACACTATAGTCCAGTCAAAATAGGCATTTGACTTAGCCAAAATTCGCATAGAGCTGAAAATTGGCAGAAACGTTAAATACATCATTATAAATGAAATGTCAAAAATCCCCTTCGATCCTACTTCTGCAAAAAATTTTATTCAAGGTCAAAAGTATAAAATTAAGGTTTTTTCCATTTTTCTCGAAAACAGTTAGTATTATCGTGAAAATAGATCAGACAAAAGTTGTAGATCATACAATTCTCTACAAAAATGGTTCAGTCACTTTTTCTCTTACGACTCACCATTCATGAGATATCACGGTTTTAATCATTAGAATTTCATATTCTACGTAATATGCACACATTTCCGCACCACCTATGAGGTAATGTACTTGGCATAATTAAAATGTCCTGACGCATGAAGATAAGGAAGCATTTCTTTAACGCAATTCAAATGAGCTCGCCAATCACCCATACGTTCAGCTCTTATAATTTTCCTTTGCAATAGACACCATATGAAAATATTGTATCCACAGTTTTGCTGTAGGTCCTCGTTCTCCGTGCTCCTGTAGTTTTTCATTAAACTGATAAAGTAATGCTTCAGCTATTTCATCGCCTTGTTCAATATCATTATAGGAAATAGTTTTATTTATTATAAGTTCAATTGTATTTGTAAGGTTTTTATCCATCTCACTATCGAGAACAAGCTCTTTGGATATTATTGTTGCTAAAGTAAGATGTAGCAAGGTATGAGCTCGAACAGCTCTCGCGTAAGCATGACCATTGAGCATTTTTCTAATGAATTAGGTGCATAAATCAGAGAAAGTACTTCTTTTATACCACTTCCTTGCATAATATATCCAATCGCTCCTAAAAAAGACATGAGTAAATGAAAACCTCCAAGTCTTACTATAATCTTCGATAAATCAGATCCTTCAGGCGCTGCGGATACGATTTCTCGAGCTTTTGCGTACAAATCGATCAAAAGTAATAACACAATAATCGTGGCCATAACGTTTTGCATCTTCTAAAGCACACAGTAAAGTTGTGTATATGGTATTGTAGTTACTCGCTGGTTGATGAATAAATGGTAAAAATAAAATTCGAGATTCCGAAAAATTTATAATATTACTTGTTAAATGTTCAATATAACCATTCCAACCAGGCAATAATAAATTTTTCCACTACCCATACAACCATAACATATCTACTTTTTTAAGTAAAGATGTTGTTGTATTATTTTTATAATCAAAATCCTGCACAGCTATTTGCTATATCCTACCACACTATCTGTTTGATAGACTTGTATTGGCACATGAGCTGTTTCTGCAAAATGTTGCGCTGAAGGAAGTATGTTTGTTCGTAATATAGGCTCTTCTGCTATAACTGAACTTTTTGTAGTAATAATTTTAATGATCCCCATGATGTGAAGCGTATTATGACCGTCTAAGGTATGTACATTTATATCAGCATTGTCTGCAACATACTGAATAAATGTGCCAGTTTTTGGTGGCAAAATATGCGGTAGACGATGCAGAACTGCTGCTGCCTCATACATTATAGTATCATTATATGATGCACACAATCCGAAAGACGAAAAAATCTGTATAAGACGTTTTGATCCAAATCGTCGATGAAAAAAAACTGATAAACCCAATTGCAATCTTGATTTGAAAGACCTAGGCCGAACAGCAGTCATTATACAGTGGCTGATAGTTGTACATATTAATTTCAAATGATCTACTTTAAATCGTCGATTTGTTAAAATTACTTGCTCCAAAATAAGTCAAGGACCCCGGAATATCGCTGTTAATATTTTCAAACATTCACTCGGCGGGGGGATAATTATCATTATCAATCACTACAGACTGAATATCCTCTCGAATAATTGCTGAAGCAGCTTTCAATATTCTGAATCGTTCTTCGTTTGTATTTTGTTTTTATTTTCATACCAAGCTTTATTAAGAATATCGTACTGATTATCAATAAAACAGATAATTGTTAAGCTTCCTTTCTTCTCAGTTATAATAATTTTATCACCATACTTTAACTTTAATCTTCTTTTAATTGATTTATTATCTATAGTTGGATTTTTGTCGATATATTTCAATTCTTGTAATGAAAATTGGCAATCATCATTATTTTTAATGTACTGAAATATTTCCTCCATCGCCAAGTTTACTGAATCATCTTCGGGACGACCGACTTTATATCCCGTGGTAGGTCTCAGAAAGATAATATAACAGTTATTGTGGTACTTAGCTTCAGCAGCAATTAAGTCAAATTCATACCCAATGCGGGCAATAACAGCTTTTGCTACGTCACCAGAACGAGTCCGAGCTACCTTTAAAATGGAATCTTTAAATTCAAGTGTAGATTTTACGACGAACATTCTGCGCTTTCTTCTTTTCAGCTTCTTCATTTGCTTCATCGCCGCAAAATAAACAACATTTTTTAAAGTTGAAATCTGGCTCACTTACTCGTGCTCTAGTATGAGGTGGACTTATCGTGGATGTACTACCTTCTTCTGGCTCGCGCTGTCTTTTAGCTGCAACAATACTACTCTTTCGAGTATACATTTTACGACACTGCACGTGGACTGTCACAGATTGCTTGTCTTTTAAGTATTCAAAAAAATTATCATTTCTTTCAACACTTGCATCAATCAAAGTCTTCATTCCACGATCAACAACAACGACTTCACTTTCTTTCAAAGGTTTATCACAAATAAAACAAACTTCTGACATTTTGTTTAAATTTTTAAAAAGACAGCACAAATTAAAATTGAAAATATTACCAATAAGTACGTCTGCTCACTGCACAGGAATTTTCAAAACTAACAGTATATACTGAGTCATTTCATTTACTTCCTTCAAAAATAGGCAGGTATGCGACCCTCCACAGTCAAACAATGACGTAGCTAGCAGATTTTACTCAAGGTTACCGACAAAGGGAATTAGGGACTGACAGTATAGTCTTATATTTTAAAATCCTCATTTAATTTATACAAGTTTTATTGTATAAGTAACACAAACGAATAGTTTCTTATTTTCATTTATATTGAACGTCCGGTGACGTATACAGACTGCATTTTGTGCATATTATGTAAAATATGAATTTTCTAATGATTAAAACCGCGATATCTCATGAATGGTGAGTCGTAAGAGAAAAAGTGACTGAACCATTTTTGTAGAGAATTGTATGATCTACAACTTTTGTCTGATCTATTTTCACGATAATACTAACTGTTTTCGAGAAAAATGGAAAAAACCTTAATTTTATACTTTTGACCTTGAATAATTTTTTTTGCAGAAGTAGGATCGAAGGGGATTTTTGACATTTCATTTATAATGATGTATTTAACGTCTCTGCCAATTTTCAGCTCTATGCGAATTTTGGCTAAGTTATGACTTATTTTTGTCTATTTTGACTGGATTACTAGTCGTGCGTCTAATCGACTCGAGCGCGTTGTTGTTACCTCTCTCCCCGCCCCGCTTCCTAGATCGCTACACAATGCTTGCTCACTCCTTTCGTGTTTTATTCCGAATGGCACGAAACTACGATCTATACGACTCGCGACGCAGTGTGAACAGGGACATCAGACTTTCGACTTTTAGTCTTATGCGACTTACGACTAGTGGGAACGGGCTGTGACTGTGCTTTTGTGAATTCGCTCTAAATGATTTGTAAGTTGGGTGGCCCTACTTAACTTCCAAAAGCGGTGATTCTGACGGTATTCTCTGCTATTTCGATGTATTTTCTCAAATTCTCTGTACCATACAAAACTCAAAATAGAAGTTGGGATCGCATTAGCGCTTTGAGTTACATAGGATTCTGTAGATAGGTTAAGGTTTTTGTAACAATAATGTGTTTTATTTAATTAACCCTACCGGGGTTGCAAAGTGGGGTTGCCCTTAGATATGTATCTGTTTGTTTAATATTTTTTATAGGCAAGTACGTGAACAGATTGATCCACTCTGTTGATTTTTCAGTATGATTTCCTTATTTACCTAGATGTCAGCCAGTATTAGGTTTAAAGACATTTATTCTCATAACAGACAATAGTCACTTACATGAGACCTTATATACTAAAGATACAATTTATCATGTCGCGGGTTATTGAAGAGTTTCAAGGATGAATTAGCGAAGTAGAACTTGGGTGGCCTTTCATTTACGTAGAGAACTTGGATCACTCAAGAGATGGTCTTTTAGTCTTAATTTAAATATTGCCAGGCTGTCTGCACTTTTTATATTTTGTGGAAGTCTATTATACCGCAGCACTCCCCCAACGCTCAATGGTTTTTTAACGTAATTGGTTCTATACTTAGGTAGAATTAGATTATGAGGGCGTCGTGAACTACGCTTCTGAATTTGAGTTCCTTCAGTATTAACTGCGCCTCGAATTTTCATTGTTGCACAATCGTGGTTAATTAAACGTCCATAGTGACTGCTTTGGAACTATTTAATGCCGACAAATCTCCCTCCGCCTTTAGAATAGTCACATAATATTCGCTAGAGATTTAAATAGAGATGCAATTACTGCCTAATAGCTCTATTAGCTAGACAGAAAGCTGTAAAGGCAATTAAGCTGTTCCCGCTTAGCGGTAATTGCCGGTTTTTGAAATGGGTAAACCCTGATCGATATTACTTCAGTCGTGTTGTATGAAGACAGTTTGACAGAAAGTTTGAAACTGTTCCAAATGTATAATAAAAGAATATATTTTGTTTAATAATCCAGTGGCAATGTTTGGGTTGCCTGGTTTAATCATTGTAATTTATAGCCAAGTAAGGCGCTTGTGCCTGACACGGCGTCGATGTTTTCCTTCACTACAAGAACACGCACTTATATCGAAAATTTATTTGTAGAGGAATACATTATCCTAGGGTTGAGATAACGTCTGAGCACTTCACTAAAACTATTCATTTAACGTTGCTTGAGGGCGCACGCGACGTCACTACTCGCAGTTCACTTGCAAAAAAATGGAACACGCTTCTAATCACTTTACTACGCAGCCAACTAATCACCTGCACTAATCACTAATCAAAGTGAATACAAGCCTTTATGTATATATATTGTTTCGTTAAGAAATTGTATAAGGACGGTATAAAATAAAATAGTTTCAGGTGGCTTTCATCCGGACAGGGGCCGCAATTTAAGAGTAATAAAATCTAATATATAAAATTCTCGTGTCACAATGTTCGTTCCCATACTCCTACTCCTCCGAAGCGGCTCAACCGATTCTTATGAATTTTTTAATGCATATTCAGTAAGTCTGAGAATCGGCTACTATCTATCTGTCAACCCCTTAAGTGATAAGGGGTGTTCACCCCAAAAAAAATTTTTTTATTATTTTTTATTATGTGGCATTCAAAAATACATACAACCCTTAGTTTTCATCCCTCTACGATCAACACCTATTTTTTATTATAGCAGATAGTTATTTTTATTGAACTAAAACAATGTTTCTTAGAAATAATATACATGGCAAAACAACAAGTGTCGGGTCAGCTAGTTGTATATATATTTCTATTATATATATTACAGTGTTTAATCGCACTCCTCCAAAATAGCTTGAATGTTTTTTATACATTTTGTCTATATGTGAAATTAAGGCGGAACCTGCTTAAAAAATATATCAAACCTCTTGGTATATTACCAAGTACCTATTAAGTCTAAGAAAGTTCTTTTAGCTGTTACAAGCAAGAAAGCTTTTAGTCCAAAGCGTTTAGAAGACAATGGTGTAAATTGTTCGGTTTTTTGCTTTCAGATCATGTCCGGCGACACTAATGACTCCGCTTTTGCGGATAATACTAGACGAGGTGCGAATTGCAGCGAAAAAGTATCCAAATGACTTTGGTTATAATGCTGATAAGTCAGGTAGTACATATTTATTTTATTTATGAAAATATAATTAGTATTTCATATTTGGTACATATACAGATAACATAAATTATTAAGGCAACGATCTCTTCCAGACAACCCTAGTACAGAAAAAATTAAGGTTAAATATATATGTTATTGTTAATATATATAAAACCAAAATAAAAATGCCTACAGCTAATATAAAGAGACAATTATCACAATGCTAGGTTCTAAAATACATAATAATATATTTACAGTACAAAATAAAATAGAAAGAAGAGAGAAATGCTAAGAGGTGTTCATTTTATATGAAGTAAAATAGTACCATTGACTATGAAAACAATTTAGCAATTTTAGTATGCCCATAGATTGTTTTTTGATAGGATTAAAAATTTCAATTTTAAAATAATTCGGAATAAATTAATTCTATTTGCGAGAGATGTTTTTATGTGTAAAGTCAAAAATTATTTATGCAGATATTTGAAGGCAATTTGACTGATTCTTTTATGTGGAAAAATACGACTCATTGAAATTACGTGTGGTTATGAAACCTGGAGTTAATGTGTGTAAAAGTGTGTTTATTGTTATCACATATATTCATATAAACCTAATTAATTGTCCGTCGTCGCGGGTATAGTTTGAACATAAATAATAAAATAGAACGCGTTCTAGTCTTGTGTATTTAATACGAAATTAATTTAATAAAATAATTATGTTAATAAAGCACTGTTTGTAATATCATATGTATTTTTAAAGAGCGAAACGTATTTTATTTCACCGTAAATATTTATCCTTATTTATGACTGGACTAAAAATATTGGATGGCCTTTTATGGCATTCTCAAATTGGCACGAAACCGAGACAGATCGATACGAATGTCATCAAATTTTTGGATCATCTCTAGGATTTATAAGCATTCTAGCACAATTTATTACTGAATCCCTAAGATAATGGATATATATTACTGACTGAAGGACTTATAAAAAACCTTTTAGCCGCCCGTAATTTATTTTGTGGCACTGTCGTCCAAATTGTTTAGCTGTTTTACGATACGATTTGTTTAACGTTAGATATTCTATAAGAACCCATAAAAAGTGTGTAATAAAATGCGAATAATTAATAATTAATATTCTAATATAATAGATGTCTAATTTCAATACTGACTGTGAAGATGGACTGAAGATTAGCGATATCCAAAAATAAAACAATGAGCCGTTTGCACTATTACATCATACCTTTGACTTGTTGACCACAATATTATTTTGCAAAATACAGTATAAACTCTATATAACAACACTCAAGGCACTGTGCTTATTTTGACGTTACAAAGAGTTGCCGTTAAATGGAAAGAAAAGTCTGTATTAGAAAAAAAAGTTCGAAAAGAAAGTTTATTTCAGACTATGTTAGTAATTACATAAAACTATTCGTATTAGAACGCTATTGCGTTGTCTGTTATTTTTGTACTGTACAAATAGTATGTACTTTTTTTAACTTATTTAATTCATATCTTGCGATATTGCGGCATCTTCGTGATAAAACACATTTAACTAATTTCGGAAATTTTTAAAAGTACTTATTAGTATTTAATTGTTGTCGTTATTTACGGTGGCTGTAATGCTATGTAGAGGGTATCATTCTATGAAAGAAAAGCTAAACCAACCAAATGTTTTGGTTTATGTAATATATATTTTTTCTTTAAGAGCACATCCTTCAGGAGCCATTGCTTACAGAACTAAAAGTTTCATTAGGCGAATCAATGGCGTATTACCATATTCTTGAGAGTCGTAGGTCCTCGTGCAATGTCATAGTCAAAACACTTATGAACGTCAAAAAAGAATCAATTTATTTGCTTTAACCCAATACCCATACATCAATTCTTCCGTCCCTATAACGAATAAGGTTGCTCGGACCCTTGAAAATCGTTATAAATACTGTATACATTAAATGCTTCTAATTTTACATTTACTGCCAGTTCTCAAATCTAGGGCTTAGAGCGGAAGAGAAGAACTGGCAATAAACTCTCCGCCACACTTTTCCTTTTTTTCTTTTTTTATATTCGTAAATGATGTAGGCAATTTTCTTTACAATATAATTATCACTTGTAATAAGACTGTCTGTTATGTGAGCCTTTTGAGGTGTTAAGGGGTGTTTAGTATATTTTTATTACAATTAATATTGTTGGGGTCGCGAGTTCAACGACTTAGTTAATATAACGCAAACCCATGATTTAATAAAGGAATTCGTATATTTGCAGCCATGATATCATGGAGTTATCGTATAATCTAGCTTATCAGGCGTCGACGGTTTACATTGTTACATCACGATCGGGCACCGAGAGCCTTTGTTCTAATACTTAGAGTTGGTATCTCATGGGGTTCGTACTTCGTACCCTATCTTTATACTGTTATTAATATAAGTCCGGAAACATCGGTTAAGAATTTTGGATCAGAAGTAGCAATTGCTGTACTTAGATTCATCAGTTGACCACTTAAAGCATTACATTTTCTAAAATAAATCTAGTAGCGATGTTATTCTTTAAGATATTTAATTTTGTCTGAAATTTTTAGCCATTCTATATAGAAGAATATCATAAGAATTGTTATACAATATAATGTGTAACAAAATTATTTCGTAAAATGAAATATCAATTTAAAAGAAAAATTAAGATTATGTATAAAGATACTTAAAAACTTATAGTGGGTGTATTTGGAACTACACGGAAGCATCGAATAAAATTCGTGTAACTAAACATATCGCTTGCCCCGGGGAACTAAGTCGTAAAAGCTATTATTACTAGTATGCTAAGTAATTGAATATACAATTATATCAAATGAAACCTATTTATTTCCTATTCGACGATGGAAACATTGTTGTTATGTATTTAGAGTAAATAATTAAAAACTAACTAACTAAATGTGCATAACAGTTATTCATGTAATTAGAATGAAGAGCAAAAGCGTTTACAATTGTTTTACTGTTTACATAGTGAAACAATAGTAAACCACAAATAACGATTGCTCATTTTGACGAATGTTAAGAACGTACTATTTTATTACCATTTTGAACCACTGTTTTCGCGGAAAAATTATGACCTTGGTAATAGCGATGTATTATTACCACTCTTTATTCGTTTTTAAACTGTCGCATTAACTTTTATGATTATTTGGTAAAGTTACTATGTAATTAATACTATCTTTATGGTTGTTACGATCTATTTCTGGAGAGCTATAATTAGGTAAACGAGTATTACTAACATTGTGCAGAAAATAATTTCCGTAGAATAAAGACATCCTCGGATTTTAGTATAGTAATTTTTTTTGCTAAAATTCTGATAATAATTACAGTTATAGTGCAGTCGTAATAGTGCTTTACGACTTTGTTCCCCGGGGCAAGCGTATACAAATCGGTTTGAGCTGTCGTTAACGTAACGTTCGTAGTAAGGTTTAGTTATAGTTTTCACTAAAGTAGTCTATTTCTGTCAAAATTAAGGAAGTTACACTAGCAACATAACGGTGCAGTCGTGATTGGACAAAAGTAATATCATGACGCGCAACGCCTATTGGTGATGCCGTTGACCAATGACAATCGAACGAAACGCGCCGTCGCGTCGTTTCATTTGATATTTTCACTTGGAGTTAAACTTGATTACTTAAGACTTCATTACTTACACTGCTAACTTTTACTAATATTATTATTATTTTTTTCTACTAAGTATTATTACATTCCTTTTCTTTCTTTTTTGCGACTGAGGCGCAAACTGCTGTGGTCTCTGGCAGAATGACCAGCGCTGTGGAACATTCTGCTCCTTAGCATAATGCTGCGTTAGGGTCAATTTCAGCCACAGCACACCTTACACACTTCAAACGAACCGAATGGGAAAATGGAAAACAATTTTTTTTTATATCTCATTATATATTTTTTTATTTTGATTATTGTTATTTTGTGCGTGTATGTGTGTGTGTTTTTGTTTGTAATAAATAATATGTCTATGATTTAGATTTAGAGTATATATTTTCTAATAATCTCTACATATCAAAGATTTTAGGATCAATCCAATATTCAAATTTCTTTTGGTTCCTAATAAATACAAGTATTTAAACCGGTTTTACCACAGGAGTTAACGACAGCTGTTGGTGTCAGGAAGTCGGGAAACCTTATTGTTATTAACCTGCTTTGTTAGCAGATGTGAATGTGAACATGCATAAAATTCGTGCAACATTCTTGCGTGCTCGTGAAATTCGTCGCATTTGAAAGACGTTGATTTATGTCTTGGAAATTGATAAATATGATAAGATGGAAATCTTTAGGGAAAGTTTGAAATTCTGATTCTGTATTGAAATGATTATTTTTAGATTGGTAATAATTGTAAAAGCAGTGGCCTAATGGCTTATGTACTTAGAGTGCGACTCTTATCCATGACCAATGGAATTTCGCTCGAACGGTGGAGGAAAACATCGGGGGGAAACCTTAGAGCCAAAAAGTCGACGGCGTGTGTCAGGCACAGAAGGCTGATCACCCGCTTGTCTATGAGACAAGTGATTATGAAACAGACACAGAAATACGAGGCCCAGACCTAAAAAGATTGTAGCGTCACTGATTTAGTTTAATTCATCACACATCCTGTTTCATAAATCTTTTTTTGTGATACCAAGGCAGACGTAAACATGTTTGTAATGCGTTTTATTTAAATCTATACTAAATATGTATGTCATATGAGTCTGCGACGAACTTTTGTCAATACTCAATAAAACATGGAGTTTCATCATTCACTGTACTTTTTTAAAGTGAAACTTTTTTAGGCGCATAGAGAGCGATTGAGACCGATTGAGAGAGAGTGAGTAGGGCGAATTACCTTATAGATTTTTAAAATTAAAATTTCGTAAAGGGAATTTAGGAAATATTAGTAGGTACATATTTTATATTTTTTTGCAAAATAATTTATTGAAATCTCAAATGACGAATTGTAAATTAAAATGCCACGTGTTTTTATTATCGAAGAAATAAATTAAAAAAACATATAATTTGTATTAATTTTCGTCACTTTTATTATTTTAATGACAATTAAATCCATTAAATTCCTAACATATCTTCCTTTTTCCTCCCTCTAAATGTCCGAAATCTAAAGTTGTATAGAAGTTGTGTAGAGAATAGTTTACCTATTGATAGTAATATAATAAGAAATTATTGTAGGTAATTGGTTAAATTTGTTTTTTTTCTCTTTTCTCCCTATAACAAAACTCTCCATAACGAAAAAAATGGTCGGTCCCTTGAAATTCGTTATAAAGAGTTGACACTGTATATCGATTTGATAACCTCCTTTTTTGGAAGTTGAAGTTGTAGGAATATTAGTAATAACAAAGTAAAATCTACTTGATAATGTTTATTTTTGAAATTCCAGCATACAAAGCGATATCACTGATGCAGGCAGTGATAGCTAAAGTGAACGCAGTATGTATGAGATATCTGGACAATTCTCGGTTGGACACTCTCCCTCCGCCACCACGGACACAAAAGGAGTTTCTGACAGTTTCCGCTGCTTTGCGGAACTCACGACGCGTTATGGAGGATCGACATGTTGAAATTGGGAACTTGGAAGCGTTGTTTGATATTGAGGTACGGTAACAAAAACGTTTAGTATACGTATAAGGGAGCGTGCAAGTAGTACGTCACGCAATTTTTGGAGATTATTGAGCGTGTAACGTTTTTCTATACCCAAGTATAGTAAAACGTTTCGTGACCATCTAGTAACTCTTTATACCTAAGAGTTACCATCCCCGCCCCGCATCGTAACGTTTTATAAAAGGAGCCCCCCCCCCTCCAAAATTCGTTACGTAATACTTGAACGCTCCCTAAGGTAGCCCTAAGATTTAATGAGCTATCGGAGATGTTACAAAACAGATTTTAAAGGTTAGTTTAAAATTAAAAAGAGAGCAGTGTTGGCCTAGTGGCTTCAGTATGCGACTATCATCCCTGAGGTCGTAGGTACAATCCCGGCTGTGCAGTGTGCACCAATGGACTTTCTTTGAATTCTTTCTTTTCTCGAACGGTGAAGGAAAACATCGCAAGGAAACCGGCTTGCCTTAGAACCAAAAAGTCGACGTGTGTCAGGCACAGAGGCTAATCACTTACTTGCCTATAAGATAAATGATCATGAAACAGATTCAGAAACCTAAAAAGGTTGTATTGTAGACGCCACTCTCAAAACAAATCAAAATATTTTGTAAAAGTTGAACATAATGAAGCGACTCTTATGACTCATATAGACCGTGTGTGATTTTGTTTATTTAAGGAAATAAATTGTTGAACAATCCAATAGGTATATACGAAGTCTATTGATTTGTATTGAAATTATTTATTTTCTTTTAATTCAATTAGATAGAAATAAAGTTATTAATTAATGAAAGTTAGTATGGATGCAAAGCCAATTTATTTTTATGTAACTCGTTTTGTGTGCTTTTCCGCGTCAGAGACAGCCTCATCAAGACTGATAACTATATTAACTATGTAGTATGTATATTGTCCATATTAACGCCATCTATAAATTTATAGAGGTTTTATTTGTCTAGTACTCGCCTAAATTCAACATTATTCGTTATTATTTATTTAACTTTGTAGCATTACATATTTGATAACATTCAGATTACATAAATTAAGAAGGCAATGTACTGCCTTATCTGTAACAAGCGATCTCTTCTAGGCAACCCTAGGAAAAATAAAGTGCATAACTTAATTTAAAAAAAAAATAACATATAACAATGTAGATTAGAAACGATAGAACTTAAATAATGACAACCAAAAACCAAATTAAAATATTTTTTATAAGGTTCTTAAATATATACAAATTACTAGCAGACCGGCCAAGCGTTGCTGTGGCTAAGGTTTTTGTCATATTACATAGTAGCAAACTATTCAAGGGAAACGGTAGGAGAACACCAGTCATGGGGACCACCATGTTTTTTTGGTGGTTATGCCATTAAATTGTAGCTTATGTGAAACGTTGGTACTTTCAACACAGCGCCATCTGTTAGAATTGTGACTATCAAATAATATAGACAACACACGGTGTGCAAATTTGATTGATATCGGTTCGGTAGTTTAGGAGTCCATAACGGACAAACAACGTGACACGTAATATATATATTAAGATAAATTTACAATTACAAAAGTTACAATTAAACAGATGGAAATAATTATCTAATAAAAATAATAATATGCCTTCCAGACAACGGAACACACAAGTTTCTATGCAGTATATGACGGGCACGCGGGTTCGTCCGCGGCGCAGTACTGTGTGGCGCATTTGCACCAATATTTGGTGGAGAGTGAGCACTTCAAGAAAGACTTACGAAATGCACTACGAGACGCCTTTTTGAAGACAGATGCGGAATTTATTAGGAAGAGCAAAGTTGAGGTAAGTGAATATTACGGCAAGGATAAATTATTAATAGATAATATAACTTGTTTCATACATTCTTCTGTAGTTATAGAGTGTTCAGAGGAGTTGTTCGGGCTAATACCTGCAGCTGACTTTCATATCGGACGTCATGGCAGAAGACAAAATACCATCCGTATCACTTCCACGTTCGTTGTTCCACAACTGAGCGTTTCTTAAGGCAGTTTTTGTCGCGCACCACCACTATGTGGAACCAGTTGCCCACTGAAGTATTTACGAACCAATTCGACCTAGGGTCCTTCAAGAAAAGAGCGTTGAAATTCTTAGAAGGCCGGCAACGCACTTGCAAGCCTTCTGGCAATGTGAGTGTCCATGGGCGGTGGTATCACTTAACATTAGGTGAGCCTCCTGCCCGTTTGCCTCCCATTTACATAGAAAAGAGTTTGTATTATATATATATATATTTGGAGAACACTTCTAATTTTAAAATACAAGTTTTAATGTGACAAGCACTTATAGGCAAACATAACAAACATGAACAGGAAAAATATCAGTTTTTAAGTACCAATTCCGAATCAATTCGTGCTAGGGTACTTCAAGACAGAGAGTACCATTACTTAAAAGGTATATCCCGTTTGCAGGAATTTACTTTGTCTCAAATTTGCTAAATTTTATAGAAGTATACTTTGAAATGACTAGTACATTTCCATTAAACAAAAAGATATATAATAAGATTATTGGTCATATCTCTAACAGTTGCATACAAAGTGCGTTATTGAAAACAATGATTCACAATGCATTCCCTAGGCTCATTTACATTACTCTGTCATACTCAGTTTTCCGGGTATTTAAAGCATTTAATTCATAGGAATTTAGAGATGTAATATCTAATACATAAAATTCTCGTGTCACGGTGTTTGTAATTAAACTCCTCCGAAATGGCTTGACCGATATTCGTGAAATTTTTTCCCGGTTAGGTCTGCGAATCAGACAAATCCCGCTAAATGTTAAGGGTGATCCACCACAAAAATTTTTTTTGACAAATCTTTGTTTTTATTTTGTTATCATACAGCACATCCAACCCTTAATTTTCCCCTTCTACGATCATCCCCTATTTTTTATTTGTTAATTAAAAAGTTATGACTTGAACTCTGAGATTTATATAGAGAAAAATTCACAGAAAAACCTAAAAAGTTTTCATCCGGAAAACCGAACAGTCTCTTGGGTAACATAACAAAACGTTCCATGTTGGTATGTACAAAAAATGTGGGCTAAGTAAAATGACATTAAGGAATACATTAAAAAAATTACTTTAAAAATGGGCCCAACTCAGCTTGTCACCAATTGATGATGATGATGATTTTCAGTGGGCCCATACTGCAAATACAGCTAACAATATTTAAAAAAAAAAAAAAAAAAATTGATTATTAAAAAAAGAGGAAAAAATCTAATTACAAACAAAAAACATGAGACAACGGTTTTAGTAGGTTAAAATGTCATATGGTAAGAAAAGCTTGTAAGGTACAATGTATGTACCAATATTTAAGAATATTTTGTTGTATGACACAAATAAGTATTGAAATTGCTATATAAGCATTTGTAATGCTATTAAACCATTGTACATGAGTGAAAATATATATACATATAAACAATAATTATTGAATTAATCTTAACAAACATGTTCAATAAAAACATTTTCTATATAAAAATAAATGAATCGCATATGTTGCTAAGCGAAAAATTCGAAGACGGCTAGGCTAATTCTAGTTTATTTATCCTTTCAAGGAATAAAAATTATCTATGGGGATAATTAAAAAAAATTAAACGCAATAGTTTAAATATATAAATTTTCGGGTTACGTGTTCTTTATAACGTCATGTTAGTTAAGACCAGTAGTGGCCTGGCTTAAGCGACTCAACCCTGAGTTGAGATTCTTCGGTGAAGGCAAACACGGTACAGCGACCCCCGCGTTGGCGTTCATAAAACCTCAAAATCACGAATTTGACAGGAACAGACGCACTTGTCTATAAAAATTATCAAAGGAACGCATAAATAGTTGTAGCAGGATTATAATATTTTTTTATAATTATTACGACCCTATTACGGCTAAAAGTTCGTAGGCTGACACATAGATGGCGCTAATAGTATAAAATTAATATGATTTTTAGTTTAGTAATTTTTATTATAGTAAGCTGACTAGCTGAGTAGCTGACCCGGCAATGGTTGTTTTGTCATGTCATATTATTTCTTGGATAAAAAATAGGGGTTGATCGGGTGATAATTAGGGGTTGTAGGTATTTTTGTATGTTGTAGCATAAAAAAATAAAAACGATATATATTTTTTTAGTATTTAAATAATAATTTAGGGAAAAAGTTTGAAAGATTGATAGTAGCCGATTCTCAGACTTACTGAATATGCATAAAAAAATTCATAAAAATCGGTCGAGCCGTTTTGGAGGAGTATGGGAACGAACATTGTGTCACAAAAATGTTATATATTAGATTATCTCTGATGGTCCAATTCAATCAAAATTCTCCAGTCAAGAGACTATTCATATGTGTATTTAAAAAAAACTTGTTTTATAAAAATATACATTATTTGCAGCACCGCGTAGTGGGAGGCAGTACAGCAGTTGTGATTTGTATTCGTGGAAAGCGGCTTTTGGTGGCATGGGCCGGCGACTCACTGGCTCTAGTTGCACAACGTATGCGTGTTATGCAGCTCGTACATCCACATAAACCAAGCAGAGAGGTAATTTTTTATTATATTTACCGGCCAAGCCAGGTTTTTAGACCTTGTTTTACGTAAATATAACAAAAATATTGAATATAATCATCCCGCTATTTTTATAACTTAATAGTAAATTATAGAATTTTTCAGATCTTAGATATACTGCTCAAAACAATTAGCGGAACAAGATTTTTCTCCTTTCTATTGCTTAAACTAAAATTAGATTTAAATTAATTTGTACGCTATTTTTTACCTTGTTAATTTGTTAATTACTACAATTAATAAAAAAATTCAATTTGTATTTTTTTGTATTAAAAAAAAATTAAAATGTGCATTGTAGACGAATAAAAAAGTGACGTCTTTGAATTTTCATTACTTTCTAATCACAGAAAACACATTTTAAGTAGTTTTTTTCAATCTTTTGAGTATTAATAGAAATTGAAGTGAGCCTTTTGAGTATTGTTATTCATTGAAGCGAGTGAGTTTAGGTCATAATGCCAGATCTGACTGAATTGCATGTCTCCCGAGCTATCGCTTTGCTTAAAGAGGGTCGAACTATGCGTTATGTAGGAAATGATCTAGGAGTAGCCTCTTCTGTTATCTACAGACTTTGGAAGCGATACCGTGAGACGGGAGAATACTCACGAAGGCGTGGTCAAGGTCGAAAGAGAAAAACTACACGTTTGCAAGATCGCTACATCGTCAACTGTGCTTTACGTAACCGCACCACAACTGCAAGAGATCTACAAAATACACTAAGGACGGCTACTGGTGTAGAAATTTCCGACCAGACGGTAAGAAATAGGTTGTTGGAAGCCAATTTGAGATCACGCCGACCAGTTCGGGCTGTGCGTCTAACAATTCAACATAGACAAGCTCGCCGACAGTTCGCGCAAAATCACGCTAATTGGCAACTTCGACATTGGAGGCCAGTGCTTTTTACTGACGAATCACGATTCCGTCTAACACGTTGCGATGGTCGTCTCCATGTTTACAGACGCCCAGGCGAGCGATACAGTGCAGCAGCAGTCCAGGAATATGACAAATTTGGATGTGGCTCTGTGATGGTTTGGGGCGGAGTTAGTTTGGACGAGCGCACAGATCTCGTCGTTGTTCCCGGGCGCTTGTGTGCTCAAACTTACATTGAAAATGTGCTCGAAGATCATGTTTGGCCCGCAGCATATGGTATGGGCCCAGATTTTCTTTTAATGCAAGATAATGCCAGGCCGCATACTGCAGCCATCACGTCAGATTACTTACGACAGCAGGAAATCCGTGTAATGGAGTGGCCTTCCATGAGCCCTAACCTAAATCAAATTGAACACATTTGGGACTTGCTTGACAGGCGCATCCGGAAGCGTCCGATTGCACCTCAAACACTGCAGCAGCTCACTGAAGCGTTGATTGAAGAATGGGAGCGAATTCCACAAGAAGATATTCGGAGGATTATACGAAGCATGCCGCGTCGTTGTCAAGCCGTGATTAGGGCTCATGGAGGCCACACACGTTACTGAAAGTCACTAAAGACGAATATTCAAACGATATAAATTAGATTATAGAATATTTCATTGATGGACCTTTTTTATCACCAATTAGTTTTTCGTCTACAATGCACATTTTAATTTTTTTTTAATAATAAAATACAAATTGTTTTTTTTATTAATTGTAGTAATTAACAAGGTAAAAAATAGCGTACAAGTTAATTTAAATCTAATTTTAGTTTAAGCAATAGAAAGGAGAAAAATCTTGTTCCGCTAATTGTTTTGAGCAGTATATATATTGAAAAATATTATTTAAATACTCTTAAAGTGTTTTTTGTTAAAAATGTATTAGGGAGCGTTCAAGTATCACGTAACGCAATTTTTGGAGATTATTGACCCCCCCATGTAACTCGCCGTAACGTTATTCAGTACCCAAGTACAGTGCTGTACCCAAGTATAGTAAAACGTTTCGTGACCTTTAGTTACTATTATCTGGTGTAAGTCGAAAAAAATATTAACAATAACGCGTAATTTAATCCCCGCCCGGCATCGTAACGTTTTACAAAAGGAACCCCACCCCCCTCCCAAAATACGTTACGTAATACTTGAACGCTCCCTTATAGACTAGTGTTCGTTAATACTATCATGAAATTGATTTTCTTTTCAACTACATTAATAATAATCAGAGAACCTAACAATATAAAAAATCTAGGTTTTTATGTAAACATCGAAACAAACCCATTGAAAAGAATAAGACCCTTTAAGTAAATTCTACACAACAGTCACAAAACTACGGATTTTACTACGATGTATTTCTAGGTTCGGTTACTAGATGGCGCTATACTTAACTTAGTTATGTTGGTTAAAATTAAAAAAATTAGGTTATAGAAAATTAAATATATATGTTAACGTAAAATTGTAAAAACCGTTAGATTGCAATCTATCTCGCGAGATTATAAACTGTCGAAAGAGTGAACCTCAGCGTACTGCTTACAATTTAACGTACTATTATTAAACAAAATTTCATAATCACCTTGATCGCTGGAAGTCCACGTCGTCGCATACATGAACCTATTAAACTCCTTTATAGCGTCGTAGATGTTTTTCTATACTATTATAAAAAATAAAAAATAAAAAAAAAAAAAAACATAAATTGGTTTACATACATTACAGTGAAACAACATATAGAATATACGGAAACCAATTGGATCTACAAAATAATAGTAATAACATTTAATTTATATAGATATGTGTATTATTACCGTACTAATTAAAAACCTTTTATCCAGGACGAGAGAAAACGAATAGAGGCGTCTGGTGGTACCGTGATGTATTGGGGCACGTGGCGAGTGAACGGGCAACTCGCCGTCTCTAGGGCGATTGGTGAGTTTTTATTTTCTTCTTCTAAACAGTTATCAGCCCTATAAAACTCGGATTTGTTGCCATGGTTACCATATTAATAACAGTGTTATGGTTACAAATTTTTAGTTTTTTTTTTTAATGGCTCTGGCACTTTTTGTGCATTAGCCAGCGTCAAGTATAACATTTTTATAATTCGTGCTTGTCTTTCGAAATTCGACCGTGTCCTCCATGTACGGTTCAGGCACTCGCCCGGAACGGCACAACCCTCCCAAAGGCCGAGAACAAATTTAAATTAAATTAAAACTTGCCCTCGAACCGGGAATCGAACCCGGTACCCCTCACCTAGCTGCCACTTAATAAGACCGCTAGGCTATGAGGCCCTTAGTTCATGTTTTATAAGTATGATTAAGCGCTGAGTACTTAAGGTGATATTATAAAACGAGACTTAGCGCTACGTGTGACTCTCACATGTCAAAAACGTATTGATGAATACTAACGAAAGACACACAGAAACACAAAATAATAATAATAAAAAATTATGAAAAGAAAAAAAGGAATAAGATACATTTTAAGTGTGTAATGTGTGCGTGCTGTGGTAGGCAGACATGTTCCACAGCACCGGTAATACCAGAGACCACAACAGTTAGTTTGCGCAAAGAAATAATGTTTATAATCTAATCTTAATATATATAAATCTCGTGTCACAATGTTTGTCCTCTATGGACTCCTAAACTACCGAACCGATATCAATCAAATTTGCACACCGTGTGCAGTTCGATCCAACTTAAGAGATAGGATAGTTTAAATCTCAATTTATACCCGCAATACTATTTTATTGCAAAATATTTGTTTATTATTTGAAAGTCACAATTCTAACAGATGGCAGGCGCTGTGTTGAAAGTACCAACGTTTCACATAAGATACAATTTAATGGCATAACTACCAAAAAAGCATGGTGGTCCCCATGACTGGTGTTCTCCTACCGTTTCCCTTGAATATTTTACTACTATGTAATATAACCAAAAACTTGCCACTGCAACGCTTGGCCGAGTCTGCTAGTATATTATATAAAATTCTCGTGTCACAATTTTCGTTCCCATACTCCTCCGAAATGGCTCGGCCGAATCTTATTAAATTTTTTGTGCATATTCAGTAAGTCTCAGAATCGGCTATGTATCTTTCAAACCCCTAAGTGATAAGGGGTTTGATAAGATTGTTGGTCAATGTTCAATCTGTACAGTTTCGTTTTGAGTGACGTTTTGGAATACGAGCCTTGGGATTAAATGCGTAATTCCATAATGAGTTTCATTTTATTTGCGTTTTTACCTAAGAGCAAGGAATGTGCATTGAAAAGGCAACCCCTGTGTAAGAGGCGGGTTAATCAGACGGTTTATTGCTGGAGGGAGCGGTCTAGTCTAAGAGATGGTGTATTTTTTTTTGCTATTTCTTATTCACATTTTTCCTACGGAAATTGATTGCTTTTTTTTGATAATTAATTTGATTAAACGTTTAACTGATACTAAGTAAGTACCTTTACAAATAGAAAAATTCAATTAATACCCCAGAGCTGGTGCTTTGCTCAACAAATAAGTATCGCAATACAGCGAAGAAGTGCCAGCATTAAAGGAACACTACCACAAGGAACAAAGTTAATTTTAACTTAGTTTTCTATGTATCCACTTTTATTTATTATTACGATGTAGGTTAAGAATATTGTAAATTAGCTTAGGTTTTGTAACTTCAACTCTTTATACTTCTAGAAAAGTCTATACCTTAAATTAATTAACACATAATTTGACGTTTTGAATGCTTTTTAGCAATCATCAGCGAGAAACAATTATAATATGTATTACAAACTGAATTTAAATATCACCCCGCATTTTAAACCTATATATTGTTTTTAGTCTGTGCGAAAAAGATCTGTCGTGAGATTTGTAAGCTTTTTGTAATGATCTCAGTGTTGCGTCACTGAAAAGTTCGTAGGCTAACATAGACTATTGAATTGAATTATTTAAAATTGTTGCCTTCGAGAGCGATACAAGGATTATAGCGGTCACACAATTAGCCTCAAAATAGGCTTCAATTTCGGCGATTACTTCTTCCTCCATACGTCCAGCATTCTCTTGGAGTGTTAGTGAGACGTTGAGAATATGAAAAAAATGTAATACATAGGTATCGCTGGACCATCGCTTAACACCAACATCCTGTATAGTTGGTTCTCTCTCAGCACAGACTGTATCATAAACCCTTTACAGCATTTATCATAAATCCACAATAAATTGTTTGCGAATAAAATATCAATGTTTTATATTAGACAAATTATTTTAAAATAAACATTTGTTTGACAATTTTCACAGACTATTTCTTTGCTATATACTAAATCCCCGGTGCCTAAAAAAGAGGGAATGCCTTTATTAATAAAGGATATAATTATATTTGGAACACTGACTCTTATACTAACCATTGCACACTAATTCTCATCTGTATTATTATTGTCGTGTGCCTACCATTAAGTTGTTGGCGAGGGATGGACAACATTACCATATAATAAAGCGTGGTTCATTTAACGCTTATTTATCTTGTTAACGTCACCTATAATGTAGTGTGAAATAACAATGAAAATATAGATTTCTCGTATTTGGTTTATAAAAGGTGTCTAGGTAATGTTACGGTATCAAACCCAAAACACTATCGCAATACGGTTGGACAAATTTGTGTATTTTTTATTTATTATTTGAACTCTGATGAAGGTTTTTATGGAGAGAATATCAGTACTTAGGTTTTTATTCCGGAAAAGCGAACAGTCTCTGAAGGAAATAGCATAGCAAAATGTTGGTATGTAGCTACTAAAAAGGTAGGCTAAGTAAAAAAATCAAATTAAGACGAAACAAAATTCGGACAGATTTTTTTTTTATAGAACAGGGGGCAAACGGGCAGGAGGCTCACCTGATGTTAAGTGATACCGCCGCCCATGAACACTCTCAATGCCAAAGGGCTAGCAAGTGCGTTGCCGGCCTTTTAAGCATTGCTACGCTCTTTTCTTGAAGGACCCTAAGTGGTGGTGCGCAGCGAAAATTGCCTTATTTGCTTTAATTAAGCGTAATATATTTGTGTATAAAACTAAGAAAAAATGTGCAATGTGACTGTATTATTAAAAAAAAAAACTGGTCTAAATGTTTTCTATTTGGTCTTTAAAATACCATCACAATACTATCATCATGATTAGCTATTCTGTTAGGTCCTTTGACGTAGGCCACTTCCAACTCGACCGGCATTGAGCAGCACGGACTTTTAAATACTATACGTTCTTTATATATCTCTCTCTCTTTAATCGGTAGCTCATATCTGAGAGTCGTGGTCAGATAGGAACGAAGCATTTGTTTCCACCGGTTTTTTGCCAGCGTCTTTCTCATAACAGTGTATGGTCTTTCACTTGATCGGTCCATCTGATTCGTGAACGTTTTTTATTCTACTGCTTTTAATTGTAATTTATATTATATGAATTGCCGTGACATTTTGAGTGACAGAAAGATAGGTGGAGTTACAACTTTTAATATTGTAATTGCGTTAATAACGAAGTAATTATTTATTATTAAGTAAACACAGCATAATGTGGGTGTGTACATGGTATAAGAATAATTAAATGGTTTGTTTACTTTTTATTATTGTTTAAAATATCTCATTTTTGTTAATAAAGAACGTTGATCGCTGACGATTACCGTACCAGAAATGTTTTGTAAACAATTTAATAATTTCGCTTCGTATTAACATTTTAATTCAATTCAATTTGTCCGTCTCATTGGTTATTTTAGCCTTCTAATTCGAAGCAATATTCGTTCTAATTTAAGCAACATTCGTTCTATTTCGAAGCAATATTCGTTCTAATTCGAAGCAAAACTCGAAGAAAACTTCGTCCTTATTTGAAGCAATATTCTTTCTAATTCGTATCAAATTCGTACGATTGTTTTTGGGTGTATAAATGTTTCTCAATATTTTGTTATTTTGTTAATACTGTAACATTACCTTACCTGAGTAATTATTAGCCCATTAAATGTAAAATAAGGGCTAGGGTATGTACAGTGCGCACGTCGGGCGCCGGCGAGTCGTGGCCACCCCTCGTCAACTGCACGAAACTATCGATCACCGCGGACTGCATTCAACTAGTGATGTGATTGTTACGATAAAATTATTCATCACATTAATTTATAGGCAGAAAAGAGATCTTTACATGAACCTTTACATGATAGTGCTAAATTTGAATCTGTAATTATTTCCAGTTATGTCCAGTTGTATGATTTTTTCTCATTGAAATATTTTTTTTTCTCATTGACAGTATATTTTGTCTGTTCAACTCTAATATTCTCGTGTGTAATTTGGCGCAAATATTAAAGAACTAAATAAATCAATGGTGATAACCTTTTTTGGTCTGAGCCTTAGGTTTAGTAAATATTTTATGATCACGTGTCAATCTAATAAGGAAGTAGGTGATCAGCCACCTGTGCATGACACACGCCCAGAATTTTTGGGTATAAAGCAACCCGGTTTCATTACGATATTTTCCTTCACTGTTCGAGCGAATGTTAAATGCGCACATAGAAAAATTTTATTTCCATTTGCACTAAAAAAAGTTTAGTAATTTAGTTTAGAATAGAGCAAATAATTATCAACAAATCTTAATTATTTTCATTTGACATAAATATAATAAAAATAACATTACTGGGTTTTGTTCTTGTGAGATTTTTCTTCATTTCACATTTTAGGTACATTTCTTAAAACAATCCAAAATGAATATCGATATTTAAGTTATCCCATCACTAAATACAGTAATGGCGTAGTTTCTATTAAAGTGTAATGTTGACATTTTCTTCACGGGACGGCCCTGAGGGGGCTGGAGGCTGGATACTACTGATTCCCCTTAACGTAGATATAGATTGTAATCCGGGCGCTTGAAAGTTATCCCCGACTTTTACGCAAGACTTCTTCGATCGCTCTTAATGCTTTAAGATTGGTTATAAAATTATTTATTAAATTATCAAGTATTTAGTTTATATAGTTTATAAGTATTTAGGTCTTGGCCTCAGATTTCTGAATCTGTTTCATGATCAGCCTCCAGTGCCTGACACACGCCGTCGACTTTTTGGGTCTAAGACATGTCGGTTTCCTCACTATGTTTTCCTTCACCGTTCGAGCAAATGTTAAATGCGCACATAGAAAGAAAGTCCATTGGCGCACAGCCGGGTATCGAACCTACGACCTCAGGTATGAGAGGCGCACGCTGAAGCCACTAGACCAACACGCTCCAGCTGCAGTTTATAAGTTATAGTGTGGGTTAAAAGAAGACGTTATGACAAGGATACGAAAAGGAATGCTTAGGTGTTTTGGTCCTGTAGAACGGATGAATGAGAATCTGTTAACAGCAGGTAACTGTGGATGTTGAAGTCAGGTTAGGTAGGCTTTGTCGTACATACCTGGACCAAATCCAGGAGGTACTAGAGAAGGGACAAGGTAAAAGTACCCATACCGACTAGTTTGAAAGTTGATGAAGCGAGAGGGGTATGTCAGGTCCGTAGCATGAGATCCGTGGTGTCTTACCTACCCCTTGGTAAAAAAGGCGTGATAATATAAATTAATAAAATGATATTACCTTGATAATTTAAAACAGTTACGGAGTTTATTGCCAGTTCTCAAGCCAAAAGCAAAAAGACTGAACTGGCAATAAACACTCCGTAACTGTTTTAAATCGATTTTCGTTAATCGGGTTGATTATTTTTTTTAAATTTAAAATGACATAATTATATGGTAGCTAATCATACAGACGTTAATCCGCATTTTGCCTGAAATTTATCTTGGTTATAGGGACAATAATGCCTACTGACGGGAACAAAAAAAAATTGAATACTCATACTCTGTATCTTTTGAACAAAAGTAGGTACCTATATATTGTATCCTTTATTTCGCGCTTCAAGCGGTCCTTTCTGAAGATTTTTTTTCTTTTATGGCTCTGGCACGGTTTGTGAATTAGCCAGCATCAAGTATAAGATTTTTATAATTCGTGCTTGCCTTAGAAATTCGACCGTGTCCTCCATGTACGGTTTAAGCACTCGCCCGGTACCGCACAACCCTCCCAAAGGCCGAGAACTACTGAAGATTTACTCATGAGTTTCGTTAATATATTATATACATATAATATATATATATATGTTATATATATATATATAGAAATAAGTGTTTGGTCCATTATATATTTAAATATTGTTAGTAGGAACAACTGCCCACTGAAGTATTTCCGAACCAATTGGACTTAGGGTCCTTCAAGAAAAGAGCGTAAAAATTATTTAAAGGCCGGCAACACACTTGCGAGGCCTCTGGCAATATCTATGAGCGGCGGTATTACTTGAGACCAGGTGAACCTCCTGCTAGCTCGCCGCGTTATATTAAAAAAAGAAAACATTGCCCGACCAAGTTTAATTTAAGAAAATTTTGGATTTATGTTTTAATATTTTTAGGTGACGCACAATACAAGCCATACGTGATTGCTCATCCAGAACAGGCTGCGTTAGACCTGGACGGTGATGAAGACTTCCTTGTGATAGCCTGCGATGGCCTCTGGGACGTGGTCAGCGAGGATGAGGTGGCGTTGGCTGTGTACCGACAGATCACTGCTGATCCAAGTAAGTGATAGGCAAAAGGGCAGAAAGATGCCTTAGTTAAAAAAACAGTACTAAGTAATTTTCTTGACCTTTTTTATACACTTCGTTGGAAAAATCGGATTTAAAAAAAAATTAATAATAAGGAGCAGTGAGCGGACGTATCGCTTTCTAGCGAGGCGACCTTTTAAGAAAAAACAAATTTGTCTAAGATGTTCGTAGGAAGTAACTAAGAATACAATAATTAAAACATAAAAGAATAAAACTAATATAAGCGATGAAAATTACATGAATTATGATTTCTAAATATATTTTTCTAATTTGATTATGTTCGGCATACGAGGTTATGCTTGTACTGTAGAGATTTAAAGGATGATAGAGAAGCAGCTAAGCGGAATAGAATTTCCTTAGCCTTACTGCGGAGACCTCATAGGATTCAAGAAGAGTTATGTGATGGGATTTCAAATATATATTATGAGAGCTCCCGTGAAATTAAAATGATTCTTGATTCTTGCCCTCTCTTTGTGTACGTAATACCAAAAGACGTATCAAATGTTAAAGTGTTTGCGGAAACCCTACAGAGTCTATAAAAAGATTTTGATATATAAATAATATTTATAGCATATGTAGGTCAAATTTTATCGAAAAATATATATGTAGGTACAATCAAAGTGATACAGTCTAACGCCTGTTCGCCTTCCCCATAAAGTTTTCTTTAAAGTCCATCTTTTATCTGTGCATCTTGCTATAATATGTATTTGTACAAAACGCTTCACAAATAATAACTTTAAATTAGGAATCAAATTTACCTTTTTATAGTTTTGGGCGCCAGTGTCCAAAATACTCGACTTTTCTTTTGGTACATTCAACATCAAATTTAGTTTTGACGCCATTGATTACATCTAGTTAATTATTCATAAGTTCTAAAACAATATGCAGAATGCATACACAAGAAAATGACATTATAATTTATGACACATCATTATATTAGACGGTAGAAATGACGTAATTAAAAAAAATTAAATTTTAAAAGTATGATAAAGTTTACGGTGGAACTACAGACCCACTAAAGAGAGGATTGTTACAATTTGAACTTGTTCATGGCTGTGAGTCATAAATTATCGCTATGAATTTTGTATTAAGCATAACAATTGTGTTGACAGCTATTGTTAGTTTGAGGCCATGTGCCCCCGGCATTTAATAGAAAATCTTGAATAAACATTGCCAAGGTCAATGCGAGACGCTTTTGTTGAGGTCTTATTTATAAATGTTACCCTTAATTTATATTATATATGTGTGCGTACCATTTATGAAGAATTCCGCCTTTGTTCAGTTGATCACCTAATTGCCTCTCAGAAACAAATGATCACCAAACAGATACAGAAATACTACAGCGCTACTGATTTATTTTATTTTTTTAATATAATTCTACAGGTCGTGTTTCTTATTCGCAAAAAAAAGATTTCATGATCATTTGTCAATCTAATAGGCAAGTGGGTGATTTGCCTGCCTGACACAAGCCGTTGATTTTTTTGTGTCTAAGGTATCGGTTTCCTCACGATGTTCAAACCTACGACCTCAAGGAGAGTCGCACGCTATGCCACTAGGCCAACACTGCTGTCATGCAGTACCTTAGTTAATATATTCTCTGATTTTTCTCACAATGACTAAGACAAGCATTTTTTATTATTAATCAATTTCTTACTAAATTGGAAATAATTATGTAATATTTATAAACGTTATAATAATTGCATAATTTTTTTATCAAATATTATAAGCAAAATAAAGGTATTATATAGATTAGTGAGGCTTAGCGGAGCTTCGTTCAGACATTAATCTCATTTATATCATCAGGATATTATAAACGAGACGACGCGACGCGCGGATTATGTTTATAATACCTATTTCAAATGTTAAAGGGGCCTTTTCCAATTACGATGTTCCAACCAATTCACACTAATTCACAGAAATTATATCTAAACTCATGAATCATTGGTGGAAACCGGTAACAACCTGGCTTATTGTCGTAGTATTTACTAAAAATGTTCATCTCGATCTTGGTCATCAACTCTTACATATTCTACATATAGTCTATATAATTGTTTACAACATACAATTTATCTTTTTGATTATATTTTTTTATTGATTTTTATTGTACCTTCAGTGGGTATCATTGATCGAATCCAGTTCTCGTGTATCTCTCCAGCTTTTTCCAGAACTCACTATCCGTGACATTCTTTCTCCATTCGCTACTATATCTTACCACTGCTTACTTGGGCGTCCTTTACTTATAGTTGTATGTAAATTCCATATTTTATTTTAGTTATTACTTAGTTACATACAGAAATACATATAATAAAATTGACATAATTAAATGAAAAAGAGGGCAACTGGCGACCTTATCGCTTACGAGCAATCTCTTTCAGACAACCACTGTGAAAATAAAATTAGATAAGGCAAAAATACATAAGACGTATAGGTATTTAGACATAATATATAATGTAACAAAACAAAGCAATTACATAATATGTAAACAGTGATCAGGAGATTATTAAAAAAAGGACACATGAAAAAGAAAAAGTGCACATGAAACACGATAATTTTAGAATTATCGTGATTCATAATTTTATAAATAATAATAATTTTATCTGTGCATCTTACTATCTGCCCCGCCCACTGTCACTTCTGTTTAAGGGCGTATTTACACTCCAGCGAGCACCTATAAATAATAATATATTTAAACAAAAACGCATTGTTGAAATTTATACAGACGCTTTGTGTTGTGGATGACTTACTCCTCCGTGGTATAACTGTAATAAACGGAAATTATATACAAAGAATACTAGAGTAAAAAATATCATATCCCAAAACGATTTCGTTAATACGTTTTCTCTTAACCTTGCAAACAATTGATTGGCAACTGTAGTGTTTATTGGGTCATATGATTGTGACGAAATTGCTATTTGTAATACAAGTACTATCGCCATAACAATAAGAACTTTCCTTGTAAGATTTTGTGGGATACATCAAGCGAAAGTACGAAAACACTGAGCTCTACTTGTTTTGGTGTGTTAGACGCCCTTCAAGCTTTTAAGTGTCGTTAATGGATCGCAAAGCGTAAGAGCTTTCATGTACAACAGATTTTTGTTGTAATGTGAGGGTTTTTCATTGTGGCACTTTAGTTGAAGTTTTGAGGTGTTGAATGGTTCTTTGTGTGCAAACTTTGATACAAGTGCCATCTTTATAAGGGTTCTAAATTTAAATTTTAAATTGTGATTTGTCAACTTGCTTAATCTGTCACCGTTGGTGATAAATCGACGTTTGAATGGAAAGCATCGTGATTAACTCACTTCTTACTTCACTTGACATGACTCATGCTAATGATATGTTTGCGTAAAGTAACTCGCTTAGAGACGGTCTATTAACGGTCTCATTCGTAAACTATAAGCGTCAATAAGTTAAAGAATGCTTGTCACAACTTATCGGTAAGTGACAGGAGAATAATATGGACGAAACTTTCAATAGCTATTTGAGGCTTCTGATCAATATGGCCTTATTCATAAATCGGTATAATTGCACTCTTTTAAGTACTCTTTCCTCTTCTCTCTTATTATGAGAAAAAGAGATGCGTACTTAACTGAAAACCATCCAAAGAAACTGAGTAGTAGAAGTAGTATATTCTTAAAGTATTATCTCATTTATACATAATTTTATTTTGTGGCATGTTAGTCTATAAAAAATCTAACTAAAAAATGGTTGCACCAATTCAATCGATTGTTAGATTATTGGAACAAGTCTTGCGAAAAAATGGTTGTAATAAAAGCCGCGTTCCGTAACGAGATTGGCAGTGCCTAGATTTCTGAATGCGGTCAGACCACAGCCCCACAATAATTGCGTCGGAAGTGGGGAAGTGGTGAAATTGGATACTTTGTTTTCACTTCACCCCCGGATGGTATGTCGGCCTCCCTCGAGCGTCTTGATGAAGCCTTTCTAATTGTTTGTGCTGTAAACAATCCATTGTTTTTGTTAGTCTTGTGATGAGCCAAGAGACGTCGACTTAACAGCCTCGTTAAAAAAGCTTTGTTGATAAATCTATGATTTTATCTTAATATATATAAATTACGCGTCACGTTGTTTGTCCGCTATGGACTCCCTCTACTATTGAAACGATTTCAATAAAATTTGCACACCGTATGCAGTTTTATCTAACTTACAAGATAGGATAGCTTACATATATATATAATTCTACTGTACGTGTGTATGTCACTGAACTCCTCTTTTTGTATGCGTTTGGATGGAGCCCTGGATGGTTTAGAATTTAGATTCACAAATCAGCCCGGCAGATGGCGCTGCAGTCGGTACTTTCATACTTTGTTTAATTTATTTATAAGTAATCTTACAGCTACAACAATCTTATACATATACAAGAAAACACTTAGACAATATACATAGCCAAAACAGATTACATTGATAAGCAAAATATACGAAACAGAAAACATAAGTCAATTAAGTACAATAGATTAAAAAAGAAAACTGAAATCAAACATTAATTAATCTACAACTTAATATTTTAAAGAAAAAATAAATTATTACTACTGTTAAATAAAGTCAAAGTCCCACTTCCCAAAATATTTCCATACACCCTCTTTGGTAAGGTCTTCTAACTTCATAAATTTTAGTGTAGTTGGCGAATTACGAAGATAATTCGTGTTCGTACGAGGCACATGTAACAAATGTAAATCTTGTCGCATACGGAGGGATTCTTAAAGAAATTCATGAGAGCAAATAGCAAGCAAAATCTATCCGTCCATTAAGAAAAGTATCTATTATATATAGACCAGGGTAGAAGCCTTTAAAAATTTCAGAAAAAAAATAGTAGGATGAAAGCAAAGTTGTAGATAATAAAAAGATCAAAAACTTTTGTATTTACACTTTTTTCACATAACCTCAAAATTTTTGTAAAAATTAAAAAAAAAACAAGTTTTTGGTTTTTTATTTTTATCTTTTTTTGTTTGTATTCTCCTCCTTTTCCAATGGTTTTCATCCTACTATTATTTTTTGGTTTCAAAAATTATCGACCCTGCTCTAATAGGTGATTTTCAAATTGAGATTTGTAACGTAAATAATTAAGTTAATGATTATTTTCGTATAATCGCTTTACCAATTTCCGCTCCAGTGTACACGTGATAGTCTTATGGGATTATGGCTTTATCAGTTTAAAATTGTATGCCCCATATGAGGGTGGCACCTTGACACCGATGAGTATCCCTACGAAATTACGTGCCCTGTCTGGGGTTAAATTTCAAGGTTTTTAACACCGTTGACTCATAACTCCGATTGGCTTTCAGACAATAAATTTGTTGATACAATAATTCTTCAACGCCTTGTTAAAATTTGTTTGAAATTGTGTTTTTGTTTTAGATTTGCATTTTTGTTTTGCAACACGAAACAATGAATTATTTTGGATTTTTTTATAGAACAGGGGGCAAGAAGCTCGCCCGATGTTAAGTTATACCATCCCCAATAGATTACATTGCCAGAGGGCTCGCAAATGCGTTGCCGGCCTAGATTATTAGAACACTGCCTTATAAAACTTATTTAGTCATTACGTGTGTTAATTGTGTCTGAAGGTTGAATTACTGGTTGTCTACCCCGCTTTTCAAATGATGGGCGTGGTTGACATGGTTTCGTGTACCTAAATCCTATTGAATAAATTTATCTTTGATGTACATGGAAATACGTATAAAAATTGGGCACGGCCCGGTATGGAGGTAAAGCGTGCGAATAACATTGAATGAAAAATCAAAGTCAAGTCAAAGTCAAAACTCATTTATTCATACAGGTAACACAATGTACACTTATGAACGTCAAAAAAGAAATACACCTTAAATGCTTCTAATTTTACATTTACTGCCAGTTCTCAAATCAAGGGCGTAGAACGAAAGAGAAGAACTGGCAATCTCCGCCACTCTTTTAAATCGCCAAGTTTTTGTTTTACACAACGTTTGTAAGGTTCTGCAACCATTACACCATGTTACACATGACATCTTAAGTAATAAATAATAATAAAATAAATTAAAAACAAAGATTTACAAACAAATAGTTGTACCTGGATAGTTTTATATTTTAATAGACATGTCGTGGTCAAATAGCGCGCTAATAGTCTAGAAATTAAATTATTTTATCCCTAACACAATATATTTTATTATAAGGTTTCAGCTTTATTGTGGTAAAGTGGCCATAAAATTCTATTGTTATATACCTGGTCGAAGCCCTGCAGTCTGCGACCCCGATGATTACAGATAACATTGTAATGTTGATGTTGTGATAAATATGTTGTCTATGTCACCTATTAAAGTTGTGCGTTAGGACTCTATCGATTGTACTTATCACTGTAATCTATAGGTGCGCAAGCGCATTTTGTTTTTTTTGAAGGTTTTCTATGGTGATAAAACTATTTTTTATATAACAGGGGGCAACGTTGTAAGTTACCTGATGTTATGTGATACCGTCACACATGGACACTAACATTGCCAGAAGGATCGCAAGTACGTTGCCGGCCTTTAAAGAATTGGTACGTTTCTTGAGGACCCTATGTCGTTATGACCCTATGTTCCTACGCTGGTGTTTACGCGCTTGTATTTTTTATTTGATAAGGTTTGCGTAGATTTTCGTACGTTTATTGAAGATTGTGATGATATATGGCGCTAAGTATATAGGGATTCTAACCAGGAACGAAGAATCTTCCTTTATGGGCAAAAGATTGATGAGGCCACGTTTAAGGCTCTTTGTAGAACTACGGTCAATTTGTTTTAGTAATGCCTTTGTAAAAATTATAATTTGATTATTTTAATACCTATTTGTTATTTTCCTGATATTATATACTGTACGGTATAATATACGGTACTGAAGGTAGCTAAGATATAGGATATACCTATAGGATAACAAGATATATGAAATAATTTAAAAAATTTAAGCTGTATATTATCTTTTTTTTGTCATGATTGGAAATTAAACGGGTTTTATTATGATTATTATTGTTATTTTCCATTTTGTGGTAGGCAACACTCGTTCTTTTTTTTTTTTTAATCTAACATACCGTAGGAAATAATTATTCTTAATATATATGTTATAACAAAACGCTGGTATTGTTCACGTAGGAAAATTCTACAGCGTAATTCCGTATTAAAAATTTTGTAATTAAGATGTTGGTTCACAAAAGCTATAATTTTGCTCAAAAATATAAACATATCTGGGTCGTTGCGGCTTATGTCTTGTTGAAAGTAAAATATTTTAAATGGAAATATGTTTATACGTCATGACTGACCCTGACCGATGTTGTGCTTGTAAATGTTTATTAACAAAAAACTCCTAGGAATAAATTCATTTTTCGATTTTGAACAGATTTTCGAAGGTTTCCCCCGATTTCCTTAGGATTCCATCATGAAATCCTTTTTCCATGGTACAACCTTTGAGATACATATCTCCTTTTCAAGAAAACCACCACCATTACACCTTACCATCAAAATTAAGTTAATTTTTGTGTTGTCCTTAAAAGATTACACTTGTTAAAATAAGGACAATCAGCACTTAAGAAAATATGTTAACCTCACAATCGAGTACCCCTTAATATCGCCCCCCTTAGCATACAACTCAATCCAACTTGGTCTTTATTTGAACTGTCTGAGGTATGAAATACTCTGAAAATACTTTCAAAGTATTGTCTACTTCTGTCGAGGTCTTAGACGTATCTTACGAACTTTTAGACTTTCATAAGTAACACGAACTTAGGTGTTAGAACTTTCATTCTTGAATTCGAGACTGGAAGTTGTTAATAATATTATCTGCGCCCGTACTATGTGCTTGAACTTCCAATAGTGACAGTTTTTGTGTCTACATTACCTTTCCATCCCTGCAATAGTTCGCTTAGTGGCTTTAGTTGCGTCGAATACAAGGTATTAGTAACAGGGTTGGCTACCTCAAGAAGGCTAGTCCACCAAACTTGCCTTGAAATTCTCAACGACCTGGGAGTAGCGCATCCCACGGCCATGCTACCCTACCCATCAGAAGGATGTGGTAGGGTAGGCCTGCCACTATGCTACCAGTACCATGCGATGTACTGAGAATCGTAGAAGCATAGTCTCAAATTATGTTTTGTTGTCATATTTTCTTGTATTTTTTTAACACGCATGTTGTTTTTGAACTTATAAATAAATGTTTTTAGCGCTGACGAGACCTTGGGATAGTATTTCCTGTGTTCCGCTCACTTGTTTCTTGACCATTTTATTGAGTAATTTTATAAATAATATGTCCTAAGACAGTCTATATATTTTTAGTTCTAAGTCTTAAATCAGTGAATTGTGTATATCAAATACAATGAATTTGTTCTTATCAACATATATTGACTGTTATTTTTAACATAGCTCCATAAAAATATCATATCAATTGCACCGTTAAAATCTCTTCATCTGTCTCTTCTCATCACAGCGTTAACACGATTTGACAGACATAGACAAAAGAGTTTTAAAAGAATGCAAAGAGACTGATTTAGATTCTGAATAAGAAAGTTTGTATAAAGCCTTTAAAAGTTTATATTTCAAAATATAAAAGAAATAACTTTTGAGCACTAAAATTGAAATGTAAATTAAAATATTTGAATACAACCACTAAGCCGTGGAGGTACAGTATAATTATTTATAACTACTGAATTACCATACTATTACTGTTAGTTAAAACGTGTAAACTGCAATTTACAGGAATTCGGGACAGTTGTTGACAGTAATTACTAACCCAAATGCGTAAATGGCAATTAAGCATAAATGTCCGTTTAACGTTCTAATTAGACTTTAAAAATGTGTGTCGAAATAAACATTTTTTAAACAAAAGACAGTGCATTCTGTATGCCGATGCTTTCACATATATATAATAAGTTTTAGATATAGACATCAAAAAACACTAACCTTCTCTGAAGAACCTCACAACATATATTCATTATCTTAAAACTAAAGACTTAGAGAGACTCTTGGGTCGTGGGGTTCAAGTGCACAGGTGCTAATTAAAGATTTCAGATGGTGCCTGATAGATAGTACAGGTGACTCCAGCGCTGGTGTTTTCCATGCTTTCCGAATAAGTATCGCAATACAGCGATTTTTTTCCGCGCACGACCACCATGTGGAACTGCCCACTAAAATATTTCCGAATCAATCTGTAACATAAAAAAAAACGAGGAAAAGCCAGCATTAACAGTTACATTGTCAGAGGGACCAAACTTTTTTTTATTCAATTTCCTATTTATCCATTTTTATTGCTATTATAATGTCTTTAAGAATAATGTGAATACTATATACTTGTGTGTTATTAAATTACAAAGAATTTATCATACAGATTGAACAAACAGATAAAAAATATACATACTTGATTCAATAAACGAGCTGGGTATATATATCCATAGTTGCACCCCTCACACTTTGAAATTGATTTTCCCTTTTCCTTAGTTTTTACAATTTAATTTAATTATTCTTGGTGTATGTTATGTTCGCCTATTAGTGCTTGTCACATTAAATATTGTATTTTTATTCCTTGTACATTGGTACAAGAAATGTACCAGAGTTCCGAGCACTTTTATAAATAAATAAATAGATAGATTTCTATTTAATGTACATGAATTAAAAATGGTTTTATATAAGCTTAAATAAATACTATATGCATTTTTATACACGTTATCTTTGTCTTTTATAGTTATATTAAATTTTTCGTATTTTGATAAAAATCTTAATAAATTGGGTTGGTACGGCGATACTTCGAGTCTAACGGTACAAATACGCCATGTAGGTAACAGTTACATTTGAAAGGTAAAAAACCCCTTTGTCACACCTTTAATCAGTCCTTTGGATATACAATTTCGTTGTTCAACAGTTCTGAATTATAAAATGTTTGGTTGGGAAAACAAGAAATGATTTCTTGCTTAACATAGACATTTCGTGTTTGCGTGAATTGAGTGTATTAAAATTTCACCTGCTTTATATAAATGCTGATAAGTTTTGACATATTTTCATGCATATAAATATGAGTTTAATTGGGTTCTTTCCATCTGCGATGATAAGCATACATTACGTTGAAAGTAGATAACAATTCTATGAAAGTACGGAGTCTCGCTCCACATGACATCTCGGGCAACTCATGGTGCCTTGGATACTGTTCAATCTTATTTTTCTGTTTTATAACGTTTAGCTTCGAAAATGTACATGTATTTAGGATAATAACTTATTTCCTTAATAGTTAGTGTTCATAAAATTTTAACATCATTTTAAACGAAGTGTTAATCTAAAGCTTAAAATATAAAACAAAATCTAAATCTAAATGGTTTTCCTTTTCCTTCCTTTTTCCTTTTAATGTCTACTCAATATAATTTAAATTATAACTAACAATATATTGCCGAGGTCACGTGCACTAAACGAGTTAACTTTTCACTATACTAAACAGAACTAGCTAAAGAAGCCTACTCTAAATCTTCTTCAGTCTAAGCGA